TTCGGGGTGATGTTTCGAAAAAAAAAATGTAGAGAAAAAAAAAGAACATGGGGAAAGAGAGGGATCGTAGTTGGCAGGGTCACACACGAATTAGAACCTGCTCTTCGGCGACGTCGGGGCGCCGGGTGGACGCAGAGGAATGCCGCTCGCCGCTCACTGATAAAAGCCACGGCCAACACCTACATAAATTTCACCAAGGGGATATCTAAGGACGCTCTTTCGTTCATTTAACCATACATCCTAAATTTAGTACCTGTGTGAGATGTTAGTGTGCCATCCTTTTTTTTTTCTTCCTCTTTTTCTTTTTTCTTTTTTCTTTTTAATACACACTGCACCGATTAGAACTCGAGACCCGTTTACAATTTTCCACGACCAAAAGAAGAAGAATAACGAGCACGATATAGATTAGAAAGGGAAAAAATAAGCAACGATTAGAAAAAATTTAAAAGGAATATATAATAACATAGAATAATCTTGTATTCATATTGTAAGTAATAATGTTTTCGTTTACGATCGACACTGGTAGAATTCGCTATCTCGGTAGAAGTAACATTAGATTAGAACAAATCTGAAAAGCATCGTTTCGATATCTCGATCTAATAAGAAGCAGCACTGCTCTTTCTTTCTCTCTTTCTCTCTCTTTCGGTTCCATAAAATCTATGAAGTGTAAGATATCCAAGAAGAGAACACGTTTCAACGGATCATTCATAGGATCATTCGATGCGATCATCTCGATTATGTGTATCCTTCATCGAACCGAACCGATGAAAGCTTAACAGAATGCATAATACACATTCGTACAAACACATCCTCGCATAAACACATAGATGGTTAACATATACACACGCGTATGGTAGAAACGAGAGCCGCGACTTGTAAGGTGCATTCCCGATCCTGCTACGAAACTGGCCGGGCTGGACAAAAAAAGGGAAATAATTAGCGGAGGTGTTAATGAAATACCAAACGAACGCCGTGGGACACCAGGTCGGCGCCTCTGAACTGCCAAGCAGACATCCTCGACATAGGACCCGGCGCCGTTTTCTCTACCATCCTCGTCCTCGTCCTTTTCTTTTTTTTTTTTTTTTTACCAATAACTGTATACTCCTCCAATCTTATCCTTTCCCTTCCTTTTGTTTTTTTTTTTTCTTATACGAACAAAAATTTCACGTGTACTTGTATTCATTTTGTATAAGTATTTTTAAATCATTCTTATGTAGAGATAGATATCAATCTAATATACTTTGAATCAATTTGATATCATTGTGATCGTATCGAACGTCCCACGAATTAGTATTCTTCGAAGTAATTCACTCTCGATCATTCGTGATTAATTTCCCTGTAAGATCCGTATCGTTTATCACGACATCGATTCGATTCATCATTCATCGTTATCGTTCTCATTCTCGTAACATTGCAATCGTTTCCATAGTGGAACTCGAAGGAAAGAGCTTGACTATTTTCGTCTCTCTTCCTTTCTCGGAAAGAAGGTTTAGGCAAAAAAGGAAAAAGAGATCGGAAAGATATCGGTCGAACAAAAAGTAACAATTCGCCACCCACGTTCTCTCTGCCGGTAGCACCGGGCCTTTCCCCACTCTTTCTACCTTTCTCGAATTCTTGTCCTTTCTTTTCTTTTTTCTTCTTTCCTACAAGGTGCCTGGCTTCTACACGCATAATTTTATTATCCTTTCACAGCGTGTCACCAAAATCCAGTTTTGCTACCGATCAATTCGGTCGTCTACTGCGTGAAATTTGAGATCTACTTTCGTCGACCTAAGGTAATCCTTCAAATCTCCTCACGATGATCGTCTAGTTTTTCCCCATCAATTTTATTTGCAATGCAATCATTATTATTACAACGGAGAGTAGAAAGAAAGTATGGAGGAGGTTTGGTCGGAACGAAAATACAAAAGGATTGTCAGGTAGGGTGAGGAAGGGTGAGGAAGGGGGGAGTATAAGTACGCGTTCGGATACTCGGATGTTCCTTATTTATGCGGCGCGTAAAGAAGCTTCGACTACACGCGTGGTACAACCCTTGAACTATATATATATATACATACACTCATGTGTGTGATGCTCGTACGCACGACCAGATTTAAAAGAGAGAGTGAGAGAGAGAGAGTGAGAGATACCAAGCGGTGTGGTCGTCTCTGGAAGCTAATGGGACGCCGACGCGTTTTCTTTCTCTCTTGCACTCGCGTAGTACACACTTATAAGATGATATTTTTCTTTCTCTCTTTTCCTTACCCGAATCCCTTTGATCCTGACCGACCTTGCCCTCGTCTCTCTTTTTCTCTCTCTCTCTCTCTCTCTTTCTTTCTATGCACATGTATTTTCCTTCTCCTTCTTTGCTTTCTTCTTACACTCCTGACCTTATCCCGAACAGTCTCGAGAATTTTCATGGTGGTCGCACGCGTTCCATTCGAAAGGAAAAAAAGTCTCGTCTCTTCTCTTTACACCGTATCGAAAAGGTGAGAAAAATAGCAAAGAACGCGCGTAACGTGGCCTTACTTTTCATTTCCATTTAACTTTTCTTTCTGTTTTTTTTTTTTTTCGAAGCATGTGGATGGCCTGTTGGTTATTTGCTGGTTTGACTTTTTTTTTAAAGCTCAAGGATGCATTGGAAAGATAATTATCGGATATATCTAATGATTTTTTCAATTAAATATAAAACAAGTTTGAATATTGGAATAAAAATGTTTGTTCTTTTTTTTTGGTTATTCATAAATCTCGTTGGTTCTTTGAAAGATTTGTTAGAAAAGAAAGAGGGATGATATTGTTTTTTTGGTATTTTTTTTTTTTTTTTTTTTAAAGAAAGAAAAAAAGGAATGCGTACGCTCGGCAAAGTTGTCGTACAAATCGTCAGACGTCGTCGCGTGAATTTATGACGACACAACATCCGAAACAGACCGTTTTACGTTTTTTGTATAGGATGTGTGTGCTCGATGGTCCCGACTACGGAGAATCCTCTGGTGGTCGGGCTTTTTTATCGGCCGACTCTACGGAGACGCGTTGACATGGAGAAAGAGAAGAAAACTCGCGGACCGTTTCGGTATCCACAAAAAGATACACGATTTCTACGTTCCAAACAAAACCGGCTCGATCCTATCCCTGAGAAAAACAAAAAATACCATTTTTTGGTATCTTTCAGAAAGGGAGACGTAATTTACTAATGACCAACCTGCCATTCTTTTCCTATCGGTGTGATATCAAAATACCGCTTGAAATACTAGCTAACGATTTCCTTAATAACATTTACCATAATATAATTGACACACGAGCAAGTGTAAGAGAAAAAAAGAGAAAAAAATTCATCTCTGTACGTACCTACAACAACACCATCATCGGAATAATCGTCGTTGCAAAAAAATAACCATAGATATTTTAAATAGAAGACACAAATCAATGATAATCTCTGTAGCTGGTTATGATGATGAAAATATCGAAAGAGTTAAAGCACGTATGACAGAGAAGAAGAAGACACGGGTTCTCTAATCGGTCGTCTTGTTGTCTCCGGAATCTGCGCAAAACTCGCGCAGAAACGTTTAGGCGCCGACTCCGATGGAGTTTCGGCATCCGGTTTCCCCTGGGCGGAGTTTCGAAGTCCCCTTTTCATACACCAAGAACCGCCCATGTCTACACCCTTGTATGTTCCTCTCACTTTCTCTGTATATCTTTTTCTTCTTCGGCATTTCTTCGGCAACGCGGACGCGCAAACGCGTCCCGAGAAAACGCCAGCTAATTTTGGAAGCGGCCGACCGCAGTGGCGCAGCCACCACTGACGATGCTGTGCCTGTTTCACCATCTCCTTCTTCGAATCTTCTTATTCTTATCATCTTCTCTCTCTCTCCCTCTCTCTCTTTTAGTCGATTGCTCTATCTTTCTCTTCTTTTCTTTCCTCTTCTCTTTTTCCAAACTGTTGGTCTCTCTCTCTCTCTCTCTCTCTCTCTCTGTCTCTCTTTATAAATCGTGTCTCCTTTTACATCGATTCAGTGTATGGTGGTGGTTCTGTCCTTCTTGCTTTTTTTATTCCTTTTTTTAACTTATTTTTCTTATCGACGTCTATCATTGAAAAGTTGAAAGTTCGTGAATTATATTTTGACATGTCCAAATATTGTTGTTTAGAAGAATAATGAAATGTTGTAAAGAGGTGTTATACATCGTGACAGTTCTCACCCCGACATACCGGAATAATATCTACTTTATTGTTTTAGGTATTCTTCCTACTAATTGTATTTATATTCGTATAATATTCAATAAATATGTTAGTTTATTTGAATAGTGCGCGTAGGTGAAAGCACGAGTTTAAAGAAAATATTGTTTCAATGAAACGTATCGTAGGAGTTTCCAGGAAAAGGGAATTATCGATCGCGTAATATGGCGCGGAGTTGAAGACAAGCATGCTATAGTTTTTGAAAAGTATAAATGAAAAACGTGATATTCTGCCGGTAGATCGTAGTCTATTAGGATATTTAATACTCGTACGTGAGCATTTAAATTAAATCGATTGATTTCGAATGTAAGAGCAATAAAGTGTTAAGAAAAAGTGTTGCGACTTGATAAATCATCGTGTCTTTCATTGTAATATCGATCACATGATTTTTCATCATTCTTATTTCTCTTCTCTCTTTCTCTCAGCCTCCATTTTGTTTCGTTTAAAGCGTCGCTGTTATCGGAGGAAGGAAACTTGTTCGTGATAATCGATACGTGAGTGACACTCAATTACATCATTAATCGTCGTCCAATCGATGGAATACACAATTGGTGATCTTTTCATTTTCGAGTCATTTCTAATTTCAATAACGATCGATCAAACATTAATGGAAAGTAATAAAATTCATCGAAGCATATTAACGTTTCAATCATCAATTTATGATTTTTCTTATTCAATTATTACTGAAACAATAATCATTGCAAGTAGGTATATTAATTAGAACTTATTAAACATCTTTGAATATCTTGTTTGAAATAAATTAGAATATAAAAATATTGTTGATTTTCAGAAGGACGAAGCTCCCATTGCGTTGGCTGCGGAGGCCGAATTCATGACCAGTGGATTTTGAGGGTGGCACCGAATCTCGAGTGGCACGCCGCCTGTTTGAAGTGTGCCGAGTGTCAGCAATTTTTGGACGAGCATTGCACCTGCTTCGTTCGCGACGGGAAGACCTACTGCAAGGGAGATTACGTCAGGTGAGCAAAGAAAAGAAAAACAACAAATCAAAATAATTCTTTCTCCAAGAAAAATGGAGAAAGTTAAAAACCGAGAGGCCAACCCTTTAAAAGATCCTTCTACGAAACACACAGCTCTATCCCTTTCTTTTTATCCTTATCGGTTCTCGTATTTTTCCTTTTTACGATCCGCCGTCATAAAACTCGCGGTTGCTGCCTATGGTAGTACACCGTTGATGCTGTTGTTGTTGCGTTGGTGATGATGGTGCGGTCTTGAAAAAAACGATGGAAAGAGAAAGATACGCGTTCACAAATTCCAGGAAAAAAGGTGGAAGGAAGGCGTAAGCTCGAATCCCGATCGAAGTCTGCGGTATGGTAATTAATGCAAAACTGTCCTCCCTCTTGTCACTAAGAACTCGCTACATTCTCTCTCTTTCTTTCCTTTTCTCACACTTACATAGGGTACGCATATATATGCTGGTAACACGCGATAGGACGTAGCTGAGGAGGCTGACCGGGATTGAAAGGGAATAAAGAAACGCGTTCTGAAGGAATAAAAAAGAATGTGTGAGAGAGAGAGATAGAGAGAAGGAAGAAAAAAGGAAATGACTGGGAAGTATTTTTATCTGTGAACCCGTAGCAACGAGTAACAAACGGCATATAAACTCCGATCGAGTCGTTCTCTTTCGTTCGAACGAAAAACCAAACGAAAAGTTGTCTCGTCTCGTTCTCGTCTCGTTTCGTCTCGTCTCGTCTCGTCTCCTCGCGTAATGTTACCATGTAGGTATGCAACATGTTCGAGACGAAGGAACATGTGCGGACAGTTCGCGCGTGCAACTGCAATGAAAAAAAGAAAAGAAAGGAAGAAGAAAAAACACGAGAGAGTGTAGTAACGTAATCCAACGACGGATCTCTTTTTCGATTTTGTTAAAAAGGACTAGAAACCAAATTCGATTTCCAATTATAAATAAGACGGATGCTAAATGGGGACGACGGCATTAGCGTTGATCGAATTTAAATGGCGGGAAACTTTTTCTCTCTCTTTCCATTTGTTTACGATAAAAAAAAAAAAAAACAAAGATCTTTTATGTCAATTTTCTTCTTGGTATTTTTTCTGTTGTTCTTTTTTTTGCCGTACACACTGGCAATGCAAGTTGAGCTTTTTTTTATTCGTTCGTAGCCGTCTTTTTTTCTGGCAGGTACGATTTCGACGTGGACCAAATATTTTTCTCCCTCGGGGACAGGCCGTTTATTTGCATTGATCCGTCAAACGTCGAAACGCCTTGGAAAGGCCGAACGAGTGAGAAGAGAAGAGAAGAACAGAGACTGGCGTATCCGGTCGAGTATACGGTGAATTCTCTCCGAGACACGACATTCGTCGGTTAACTTGTTTGTTGTCCCTGTCGCTTAGTCTCAAAAGTCAAAACGAGAGGAGCGAGCTGATTTTTTCACGTTTTTCGGTAGCTACTCGATTCTACTTGAAATATCAACGAAAAATTCATCGTCCTTTTTTACGATTAGCAAAGAAAAATGTTATTACTCGCATCCCATGACTATGAATTTCTGCTTATACGCCTACAAAGAATATTTTAATATAATACTCGGTTTCATCCCTTAAAATCGATTTTCTAAACGCAAAGTTCACGAATGCCATAACACGTGAACATAAATAACACTCTTCCCGTGTAGTACACGCTAGTTTATGTTTCGTTTCTATACGATATTACGATATATCAGAAAATATAGGAAGGTTATTGTAGGATCGGGTCAGAATACTAGCCAATCGAGTCATATATTTCGAGTCGATGCAAAACGTTCGGGTCGGATTATGAGCGTGCACGAGAGCCACCCGTGCGATTCGTGCTATGCACTATCAGATATTGAAGTGTATCATAACTTATGGGAGAGCCTAGGATGCTATCGAGATTAGGATGCACGCCAATAAATATTATCTCTCTCTCTCTCGTTTTCGTTCAACAACCTGGTGCCTGCTCTAGCGCAACTACAAACTACGTAAGCCATATTCGCAAAGTGTATGAGAATATTGAACGATAAATGTGTATTTTCATGATAGCTTCAACAAATCCGATAACTTGAAAGAAGAAAATGATTAAAATTCATGACTTTTCTTTTTTATTCAATGTATTTTCTTGAAAATTTATTTATTTATATTTGTTAAGTGTAGAGGTACGCATGGTAACTGTGACGATAACAATAGGGATTGTCGACGCCAACGCAACTACCAATTACGGACACCATCAATTCTATCAGAAATCTTTTTCTAATCAATCATGCGCTAATGATCATCCCTGGCTACGTTCCATATATTCATTATCCAAATATTTGTCATTGTATATGTATTAACGATGAATGTTCATTTGGAACGTTTCAGATTGTTTGGAACAAAGTGCGACAAGTGCAGTCAGTGTTTCAGCAAAAACGAGTACGTGATGAGGGCAAAGACCAAGATCTACCACGTCAATTGTTTTCGTTGTTCAGCTTGCATGAGGAAGCTTTTACCGGGCGATGAATTCGCCCTTAGACAGGACGGACTTTTTTGTATGCACGATCACGACGTACTAGAAAGTGGAAAATTTTGTTCGGCTACTGGCGGTGTACCAGGCAGCGAGAACAACAACAACGCTTCCTTAACAAATAATAATCATCACTTGCATCCAAACGACGGTTCGATGTCGGGTAAGGAAGAAATCCAATTTATTTTTATTCCACAAAAAAGACAAGAAGAAGAAGAAGAAGACGAGGCGTTTTCTTGTTTAAGAAAAAAGCAAAAGACACGCGAGAAAAAAAGAAAAAAGAGACGTTTGGATCGTGCGTAGTTATGTACGACAGTAGTTGGCAGGGTGGTGTTACATTTGACACCTCTCGTATACTCTAAAGACTTGTCAAACCACTGTCCGTCGGCTTGAGATTCGTTTTCGAGTAGTAGATACTTTTCGAGTTTGGATAGAAAATGAGTCGAGACGAGAGGGATTTCGGCTTGCTGCTCCAATGATTTCCATACAAGAATCACGATGATAAACAGAACACAAAAGATGAAATGAGTTACCGTGTCACGTTGTGGTGACACCTTCGTACCATACTGTTTGCATTGGAATTAGCGAGCAAAATTTATTCCTCTTCCTCTTTCTCTAATCTTTTTACATCGTACCCTCTTTGGTACACATATTCCTAGTCACGTTTTTAACCATAAAATAGAATCACTAGTTTCGGTCTAATCGAAATGTAATTTACGTTACCTACGATATCCTTTAGATTGCATAGCTTGTAATAATAAGTTGTTTATCCTATCTCTTAATGAAATCTTTCTAATAGCATATTAATTACTTACTTTACTAAAACAAGTTTGTAATATTTTTACAAATTATTTCGACAAACATTATCCTTATCTTTATCGCATAACTAGTTTGTATAATTATTCGTTTTATATAAAAGAAAAGAATTTGTTGAAAACGTTTAGATTATCATAGATTATTAGATCGTTGATAATTCAATATCGAACACCTCGGGACGTACTCATATTACCTAATATGGGCGGTGGTGGATGGTGTATGGTGGATGGACACTGAGCCATGTAATCCCACGCGTGTAGGAAGAGGGTGTAGTGGTCAAGCCTTTAAGGTCTCAACGGCTTCAATTATCAACACCTAATTACACGTGGCGATCCTAACACAACACTATAGTCGTTGCCGTTGCTGTTGCCGTTGCCGTTCCCGTTCCCGTTACACTTCGCCATAGTTCTAGTCTCATCGTCCTCGTTGTTGTCGTCATCGACGGAAATCCCTTGTATTTCGTAGACAGGCTTTATACCCTCGGGCAGGGAACCCTTTTGTAAATTTGCTCTTTGTACCCCGATATTCGACAAGAATCCTTTCGACGTTTTGATCCCACGAATAAATTTCATTAGGACGAGCTCGTTATCCTGCAATTATTTCAACATTCATCGAATTAATGTCCTTGCTATTTCTTAAATATCTTACATATGTTTCTTCTTTTACTTTATTATTTTGTCAAATGAACGAGCCAATGAAATTGAAATGTCGTCAACGGTGAAATAAGTCTGTTGGTATTAAGCCAAGTTGAAATTTATTCTCGTTGTAAATGCGAGACATTAAGTCGAACGTATGGATTTATATTACGGTCATTACTGATCTCCCCCTCCCCCCTCCAAAGGAGSGAGGAGAGAGAGAGAAAGAGAATTCATCTTACGAGCAAACAAAGCTCGATTATTTCGTTCTATTTTTAAAATGTGCCATCACTACGATAATGTATCTTTTTTTTCTTTTTTTTTTTTTTTACATAGGGGTAGTTATTCTCAAATCGAAGTGACTATTTCTTCTTTTTTCTTTTTTTTTTTTTCTTCAAAATGATCCTCGTCTGCTCGCAGTCTTCCATAGTAGTATTATTTGCTTAGGATACCAAAAATAGCCAGAAAAGATTTCATTTATCCAGCAAGATGTTCTTGCATTTATCCTCCTTCTGTTTTACCGTCGGCAAACAATCGATTCCATCGTAAGACGAAAGTTCTCTGTCTTGTACCAACTCTATGGACCCTTCACCCCTTTTAAACCCTTATTTAGACGATCCAAATTCCATTTCGTCGTGTACATTGCATACACCATTTGACAGATTTCTCACAGAGATCAATTTTCTTTTTTTCTCTCTCTCTCTCTCTCTCTATTTTTCCTTCATCACGTTGTTGGCAAACGCAGTAGCCAGCATCTTTCAAAATTAATTTGACGATTCGCAAAAGTTTCGAAAGAGTGTCAAGTCAAGTTTTATCGCCAAGTATACATATACATACTACTACTATTTTTTTTATAACGTCGATAACCTTGAAGTTGAATTCAATCAATTCTTGCCGTCTTCTCGTAGCAAAATTATCTACTTGTCGTCTATCAGTTTTATATAAATTCCTAATCTAGTACTCTACGATTAATTATCATTTCTTATTAATTACCGTTATTTTTTATTCTTTTTATATAAGGTCGATGACCTTGCTGCGTAAATTCGTATATTTAGCAAGATAATGGTTATTAACATATATTCCTGAGAGAGTTCGATTCAACGAATTTGTTCGTCTTTTCTAAAAAAAAGAAAAAGAAAAAAAAAGGACTCCGACGAAGCACCGTAAATCAAATAGAAACCGATAGAAGGAACTTGGGAACGTACTCCAGGGGAAGAACCGACAGGCTCGATGTTATCCAAGGACGTGCAGGAGAACGCGAGCTATGGTCACGAATGCGCGGATCCGAGTTTGCTCATCGACAATATTGTTTCTTCGTTCTTCTGCTCTCTCGAGTTCTTGTGCCGCGCGAGAGGAAAAGAAAAGAGAGAAAGAGAAGACGCGATGATTGTCGTCGGTGCCCTTTGCGTTGTTCTCCGGCCATATTGAAACAGTATCCGGATCTCCCATTAGCTCGAACCTCGAGCGTTTTGCAGGACCGGTTGGTACGATCGCTCGTTGCCCTACGCATAAGGGCACCCACCTTGTCCACCCTTTGTCCACCCTTCGACGAGTTCGCTAAAGTCACACTAGCTAGTCTTGCAAATATTTTCTTTATCTTATCTATAACCATCTACTACTTAATTATTTATTAAATATCAATCTCGAATTTGATGTTCTTTTCTTTTTAGACTCTGGATCAGAGAGTGGTTCTCATAAGGCCGGCGTAGGTGGTGCAAGAGGAACCGGTAGTCACAAGAGCGGTGGTGGTTCCGATGGAAAACCAACCCGAGTTCGTACGGTTTTGAACGAGAAACAGCTTCATACTTTGAGAACGTGTTACGCTGCAAATCCAAGACCAGACGCATTGATGAAGGAACAATTGGTAGAAATGACGGGTCTAAGTCCAAGAGTGATCAGGGTATGGTTTCAAAACAAGAGATGTAAGGATAAAAAGAAGACGATAGCGATGAAACAACAAATGCAAGAGAAGGTAATAAAATAAACGTTGTCCTCTTTCACTAAACTACTAATTGTTATTGTTTTATTCATAACCGATTTTATTGATCTAATGGATCGAAGTGCTTTCCGTTGCAGGACGGGCGTAAACTGGGTTTCGGCGGTATGCATGGGATTCCAATGGTGGCGAGTAGCCCTGTGAGACACGAAAGCCCCATCGGCATGACCCCTATAGAAGTACAAGCCTATCAACCACCTTGGAAAGCTCTATCCGACTTTGCCTTGCATACGGATCTCGATAGGTTGGATCCGAATGCACCAGCCTTCCATCATTTGGTTTCTCAGGTAAATACAATACCTTATTCTTATATACAGGCAATATAATTAGTGAATTAGCATAAATACATATTTGTTTGAATTTCAGATGCATGGATACGATATACACGGAGCCCCGCCACAGCTCCCACCTCCAGGAATGCTCGGTGGTCCAATGAACGATGGGGGTGGCGGTGGAGGTGGTGGTCCTTTACCTCCGCCAGGTCCTCATCATCCTGGAGGTGGTGGTCCGGATATGGGACAACATCCTGACAGTACCGACAGTTACGTCACTTATCTCGAAAGTGACAGCGATTCGCTGCATCACGATACGGGTAGTCCATAGTGTCGTACCTATCGTCTATGGCTCGCTCATGGCAACACACAGTTCAAGATAAAGATCAACTTGATGTTGATCGTGACCTTCAAATCTTTCCATTGACAAGAAAGAAGCTTGATGACGAGTAATGACGAGAAGATGAACGGGAGACTTGTGAACGAACATTCGATCTCTTTCTATTTCTTTCTGTCTCTCTCTTCCTCCTTCTATTGTTTTTACTTCCTTCTTTTTTTTTTTTCTTTATTATCATCATCATCATCGTCGTCGTCGTCGTCGCCTTCGTCGTCGATGGATTCTATATAGGACAAATAATTCTCATGGAAGCACACCGATGTAGATCCGTTTAGTAAGTTTTATTAGATGAAAGAAATATAAGGGGTTAGAGAAAAAGTGCGAATCTCCCGAAATGGAAACTTTAGCTCGAGACGAATAGTATTAATTTAGGAATCTACGAACAACGATAGTAAGTATTGTATTATAAGAGGAAGAAAGGATATGCGTATTAAGGAAAAAAACTATGCCAAACAATAAAAGTTTGTTTGGTCATGCGAACATGAAATGTTACTGCGGTCAATCAATTTCTGATTTCTTTTTACTGGACAAATTGTGATCTGTCCTTTCAATAAAAGTAATCAATTAATCGATTGTGAACTCCAGTTTTTAATTCAAACCAATAGTGAAATATATTTGCGCTAGAAAAAAAGTATAATGCGAATCTTTGTACTTTTTATTATATATTTATATTGTTTTTGAAAAATTGTTTGTTTTTGCTTAGAGAACGAAACGACAAATTTGATTCGATAATAAAATCAAACGATGTATTTTTGTTCTCAATTAATTAAAAAATATCATTTCTCTTTACTCAAAAATTTAGTACAGTGCTTCCGAAATTTTTGTGGCCTGAGAACCATTTTTAAGAAGTAATAAATCCTTGCTCTTGAAAAGTAAAAAAATCATCTTGTTTAAGATTCCTATTCCCGTTGCGCTAAATCATATTATTATAATTTCAATATCAATAACAAGCAGTGTTTCAACTTACACTTAAAAAACTTCAAAGATTCATCATAGAATATTATAATGATTTGTTCTAATAGCATGAAATATTAAATAGCCAAAGTATTTGATCCTTGAAAATTTGGAAATACTAACAGTTTTGACCAAACACAGCATCTATTCCCAAAGGGAGAGGAAAAAAGCGAGAAAATAGGCGATAAAAGAAATCACCGATGGTGTTTAAAAAAAAGAAATATAAATAAATATTTCCACAACGATAACGTACGATGTGTTACTCTTGTACGAAGTGTACATAATTACTGTTAACGTCGTTGCTGTAAATTGAATTGATTTTAGGATCATTAATACGCTCAGGCCCAAATAATAATAATAATAATGATAATAGTAATAATAATAAGAATAATATTATTAACATAATTAATATAAATAGCGAATGAGAGACGTATACATGCTGATGTTATATTTAATAGTTACATGCTATCTATTCCGATTATGTTATAAGTTCATAAACAATTTCTCAGAAACTTAAATGCAATCCTTAAGTATCATTCTTTTTTCTTCTTTTTTTTTTTTTCTTAATTTTTATTTCTATTTTTTTACTTAACATGAGCAAAAACTATCGTAACAGAGAGACGATTTGATTTCAACGAAAATTTCATCAGACACAAAAAAAAAAGAAAAAAGAAGGAAAAAGGAAAAAAAATACCAAAGTGTGCGAGCTTAAAGAAAAATAATGGGAGAGAAACGCACTAAATTGTAAATAAAAAAATACTCCGATAAATTAGAATTTATAATTAGGACAGTTCGTTTGGTAGAAATGGCGAGTCGTTTTGTGTGTGCACACTTTTATGCTCGCCATGTTGGGTGTTTGTATAGAAACGTTACACGCCGCTCTCTTGTATGTATATGTTTAAAAAAAAAAAAAAAGAAAAAAGAAGAAAAAAATTAATTCATGTAGTTTTAACGTTTCGTAATTCGTTCGAAAACATCTTCGAATTTGTATAATATTTCTATACCAGCAGCACTGAATGTAATAAACTATCTAACTAATTTGATTATCTTGTTATATTTACCAATTTCTCTTCGTTCTTTTTTCTTTGATTTGATCACAATGTCTCGATTTCTGCATTAATACTTCCTTAATTATAGCTGATCACTGAAATGCCAAACATTCTCTTTAAAATAATTATATCAGTAACAAGATTGGAAAAAATGTATATTACCATATGATCAAGTATAATTAGCAAATAATTCATTCTTCAGAATTAATCTATTGCTTACCTAATCTATTATCGATTATTTAATAACAAACATTCCAATTGATATCAATTTTGATAATGACAATCATTTAAATTTAAATCACTTGGCTTTTGTTACAATATCCTTTGCAAATTCTTGTTCAATTAGCAATCATGAGAGACATTGACTGGTCCTATGTTTTAAGATTAAAACATCCTTTTTTTACATAAATGAAAGGTCCTAGGTCAACCATCTCCAACTTTCATTCTTTCTTCATTTTCATAGTAGGTTAAATTATTCGTGAATTTGATGCGTGACACATTAGCTGCAATTAGAAAACACATTGCATTCCTAAGAAATGATAATTTAAATGTAACCTTAAAATCCTTCACAAGAACTGATTCAATATTTAGGATTACTTGCAATTACAAAAAATTTACCTTCGTTACTCCACAATAACGGGGTCTGGACATAAAAAAAAATAAATTCGAGTACAACTGAATTCATCATTTTCACATAAAAATAACTCAAAGAAAAAATGTATACAACAACGCAATAGTTAACTTCTCACTGTGACAAGAATGTTTGCTTTCGATAAAGGTGGCAGCACCTACCAGACACCTAACGCAACCAATTAGCTTTGAGATTTTTCTTCAAACAGCATTCTTCGTTGTGTTTGGTCGACGTAGTAAGATGGCGAATATTTCAGTTTGATGAAAATATAACCTATAAATTACAGTGTAACACGTACAGAATATTTGTTATTACAATGAGACCAAAAACAAAAGTAATGTATACTAGTAATTAATGAATATTACAGCTTTAGATACTTGTTAAAAATAATTACTACAGTATAACAAGAATAAATTCATTGTTTTTCTAGGATAACAAGGTACCTTCTAAAAAAAAAAGTGTTAAGACAAATTCAGAAGAAAAAAATGAAACATCTACCAGCGTAGAAGAAGGAACAAGTGGATTAAATCAAACAGCAGAAGATCAATTTGTATTAGAACTTTATTGGTGTATTCAAGAATTAGAATCGACTTTAGTGAAAGGAAACTTACAAGCTAAACAAGAACAGGATATCTTAAAAAGTGTAAATATTTTAAAAAGTAATACCGCGCCTTTGATTAAAAAAAGACAAATTATGAGAAATAAATTAGGAGATTATAGGAAGAAAATGATTCAAGACGAACAGAAACTTAAAAAACAAGTAGCATTCGTTACGTTTACAAATAAAACAAGATTAAATAAAAAATCTGTATTTTTAAAGAAAGCTACTATTAATGTTAAACAAAGTTCTGTTAAAATTGATAACGAATCGCAGGAACACTTACAAGATTCGTCAGATAATAAGGATAGTTGTAAAATTGATAAGGACAGTTCGAAAGAGTTTAGGTTTAACTTTCAAAGTGTAAATTAAGCATGTTTCCATATAAACTTAACTAATAAAAGTTTTGTTTTTATATTTATAAATCCAAGTAAAGCATTTAATTATTATCAATTTTATACTCTCAAATTTGTTAGCACAATTGAATTATTTTCAATTACTACGACTAACTCTAACCTCATAAAATAAATAAACAACCGTGCTTTCAAGATGGTCCTGTGGCGCAACGGATAACGCGTCTGACTACGGATCAGAAGATTCCAGGTTCGAATCCTGGCAGGATCGAAGTTCTTTTTTACTATTTTTTTTTTTTCTATTTAATCATCTTCATTTTTTATGTAAATCCTACTAACATAGTTTATAAAATATATGCAATTAAATATATATATGTATGTATGTATGTAAATTTTTGTTTGTCTTACCATTTGAAAATATGAAACGTAGAAAGCTGATTCATCGAATTTTTAAATATTTGTATTACGCTGACAATGCACTTAAAAAAAAAAAAGAAAAAAAAAACAAGTTACAACAAATTACTTTTTAAATAACTACCATATTGACATATAAAAATATATGGAATATAGATGCAACAATTATTCCTTGATATTCATATTAATTACATTAATAAAGAAAAAAAAAGCGATTATCGTGACACGTAGCGAAGTATTCGCTATTGAGAATAAAGCGATCATCCACGTGTTGGAACTGTGTGTAAGACGTGTGTTGGAATATAACGAATTTAACGGTGATTCTCATTTTATATCCAATTTAATAATAAAAGTAAAAAGATATATAAACTATACTTTTCATTCATCATTTGAATTAAATTATATCAATCATAATTATTGATATTTCTATGAAATTGATTAATTTTAAACAAATTGTTATATAGTACTGCGGAACAATATTGCGAGCATTCAAATAGTCGAAATAGGAGGAGTGTGAATCAACATGGTCGACAGCGTGGTATCCGATATTCAAAGCTTGAATATTAAGGAAGAAAAGGCACGAGTTATTTAATTATCATTCGAATTTTATCGTTTATATATTTAATTTTTCTATATCATGTTGACATATTTACGAATTTACGGTTGTAGGATCATTTACAGTGGTACTAGGCGGAAGCACGCTTGGGTTTGTTATAAAATTATATTGTAATCATTTAACAGAATTATCGTATGTCCCAAAATAAAAAAAAGGATCATTTTTCAATCATAAAATATTATTTTGTTGTGCTGATCATTATCTATCATCGTACTACCCATTGTAACAAAGATATGAATCAATAATCTGACGTAACCTTAATATTCGATTTCTTAACAATTCCATTGATATCTACCTTGACAGTTTTACTGTACTTAATTAAAAACAGATCGAAGCATTATATTATTATTGCTTCTTATTCATTTGACACATTTTTACACAGTTTACTGATTGTTTGCATTTATTTTTTTCTTTGCAGGCAAAAATGAAGCCAGGGAAAGATAAGAAAAATGTTGTTGACAAGAATTCGGTTTGCGAGTTAAATCCATGGCCTGAATATATTCAAGTAAATATTTAAACAAGTATTACTAATATTGTTTCATGTGTTGTTATTACGTTAAACTTTATATGATACATATACGTATATACTTTTAGGAACGTTTAGTTTTATGGGATAAATTGAAAAGTGAATATCAATCTGAAATTGAACAGAAAGAACCTCAAGAAATAACCATAACACTTCCTGATGGAAAACAAGTTAGTGGTTCATCATGGCGTACTACACCATATGAAATTGCAAGGAATATTAGTCAAAGTTTATCTGACAGTATTGTAATAGCAAAAGTTAATAACGAACTTTGGGATCTTGACAGACCTCTGGAAACTAGTTGTAAACTGCAGCTTCTTAAGTTTGATGATCCGGATGCTCAACAAGTTTTTTGGCATTCTAGTGCTCATATCCTTGGAGAAGCTATGGAACGCGTTTATGGTGGATGCTTATGTTACGGACCACCAATAGAGAATGGTTTCTATTATGACATGTACCTTGGTGATAAAGGTATATCCAATTTAGATTTTCCTTTTTTGGAAACTCTATACAAGCGTATAGTTAAAGAGAAGCAACCGTTTGAAAGACTCGAAATGAAGAAAGAAGATTTATTAGAAATGTTTAAGTATAACGAATTCAAAGTACGCATTTTGAAAGAGAAGGTACATACTCCTACTACTACTGTTTATAAATGTGGTCCTCTAATCGATTTGTGCAGAGGTCCGCATATTAGACATACGGGGAAAGTTAAAGCGATTAAAATTACTAAGAATTCTTCTACGTATTGGGAAGGTAAAGCAGACGCAGAATCTTTGCAAAGAATATATGGAATTAGTTTCCCCGATACTAAACAATTGAAAGAATGGGAGAAATTCCAAGAAGAAGCTGCTAGTCGTGATCATAGAAAAATTGGAAAAGAACAAGAATTATTCTTCTTCCATGAGCTCTCTCCAGGGTCTTGCTTTTTCCAACCACGTGGCGCTTATATTTATAACACTTTAATCGAATTTATTCGTAGCGAGTATAGAAAGAGAGGATTCCAAGAGGTTGTAACGCCAAATATTTATAATAGTAAATTATGGATAACTTCTGGTCATTGGCAACATTATTCGGAAAATATGTTTTCGTTTGACGTTGAAAAGGAAACATTTGCATTAAAACCAATGAATTGTCCAGGTCATTGTATGATTTTTGATGTTCGAAATAGATCTTGGCGTGAATTACCATTAAGAATGGCAGATTTTGGAGTATTACATCGCAACGAATTGTCTGGCGCATTAACAGGTCTCACTAGAGTGAGACGTTTTCAACAAGACGACGCGCATATATTTTGCATGGCAGATCAAATCAAGGAAGAAGTATTGGGAGCATTAGATTTTCTTCGTCATGTATATTCTGTATTTGGTTTTACATTTAACTTGTGTTTGTCTACACGTCCTGAAAAATATTTGGGAGATTTAGCTGTTTGGGATCAAGCTGAAAAAGCATTAGAGGAAAGTTTGAATACGTTTGGAGCATCATGGAAATTAAATCCTCAGGATGGTGCTTTTTATGGTCCTAAAATTGATATAACAATTATGGATGCTTTAAAAAGACCGTTTCAATGTGCCACGATACAATTAGATTTTCAACTACCGATTAGATTTAATTTGTCTTACGTCAAGTAAGTTGAAAAATGAAGTATGTAATTACGTCAAATATTCATTAATATGTGAATATAGTTTATAATATTATTACTTTACAGTGAATCGGGCGAAAAGACAAGACCAGTAATTATTCATAGAGCTATATTGGGTTCTGTAGAACGAATGATTGCTATTCTTACCGAATCTTATGCTGGAAAATGGCCATTCTGGCTTTCGCCGCGACAAGTAATGGTGATTCCTGTAGGAACACCTTTTGACGAATATGCAATTGAGGTTAAAACTAAACTTTGGGATGCTGGTTTTAATGCAGAAGTTGATACCGATCCTAGTGACACATTGAACAAAAAAATTCGTAATGCTCAATTAGCACAATTTAACTTTATACTTGGTATATACATTGAAATATTTCTTTATATCTTTCATAATATTTTTTAATAATATATTACAATATACAATCTATTTAATTACATAATATTTTTTTCAGTTGTCGGAGAGATAGAACGAAATGCAGGCACTGTAAATGTTCGTACAAGAGATAACGTTGTACATGGTGTAATTAAAACGGAAGAGTTAATCGAAAAGTTCAAATTATTTAAAGAAAGGAAAGATCGTAACTGCGAAGAGAGGTTTCAATAAATCTACTTTATCTATTCAGACAATTTATTTATATATAGGTAATATGTCTAAGCTTAAGAAGTTATAAGATATGATCCTAATGCACTTTTCAAATAATATGGGAATAAATCCTTTTTGTGCAGTATATATTCTTAACTATTTCACATAACTAGCTCACTAAGTATACAAAAGAGAAAAATAATAACTTATTGTTAGTACATTTTTCCTACGCGAATAATTAAGTGATCAATTTATATAATTTCTTATTTAAAAAAAGAAAAAGAAAATGAAGATCAATCTATCCTCGTTTCTATTAGAACGCTATTATAGTCTTGACAAAAGTGATAGTGTCCTGATCGAGAAACATGTTTTGCATATATAAAAATAGAAAAGCAAAGAAATAAGATGTAAAAATAGACAAAAAAAAATTGCTTCTCATCGGATCATTTCAATTTATAATATATTTCATATGCAATATAATAATATTAATGAAAAATTTGTCACTCTATATCCTAACTTTAGTATTCAATTATGGAACTTAACATTGTATCGGCATTATTAAGTGATAATCTTTTGCAGTAGATCATTAAAAAAAAAAAAACAACGACAATGTCTTGTACAAAATGATATACATACAGCATTCGCAAAAAGATAGTTCAACAAGTTGCCTTGTTAAAATTCAAATAATAGAATGAGAAAATAGATATTGATTGCTTACATTTTTCACATAATCAATATATGATATAAATATTATGAGTTTGTAATTTGAAATGTTCATCTCAATGGCTGTGCTCCATAATTTACAAGTAGTTAACGCGTTGTTAAACGCGTATAACCGCTTTGAATACATTTTAGGAATAAAATGCACTCCAGTCTTCAGAGAAAAATTTCCAACATTTTGTATAAAAAAACGTGAAAGAAAAACATAACAAAAAAAAAAGAATTTTTCAAATAGTATATATTGTAACTACCATTTCGATTCCTACCACATTAAACACACGTGTGATTTATAATATTTCTTTTGATTTCCTTAGATTTTCTTATATCGAGCACCATTCAAATAAAACTATCACGATTATTGCTTTTTCCTTTGATTTAATATTTCTCTCGCATCTCAATTCCTCTATATATGTGTCACTCTTTAAGAGATGTACTTTAATATTTATTGAATGTTAAACGAATAAGGAAATACTATGATAAATTATAATACGAAAATGTAAAATAAATAAATGTGTCCCCGATTAGAGATAAAAGGATTTTTCTCTCGTGTTTCAATATTTGAATATGACATTTACGATATAGGCATGCGTCGTACATGCACATATATATATATATATATATACCGCAAATCAATACGAGTATGATTAATCCTATTAAACTTAACCAATAACATAATCTAACCTATAAGCGATATTATATTGTCATTCATTATTTTGTTGTGTAAACATAATTTAACAAGTTGTAAACATAAAAATGTTATAAATCTTGATCGTAAAATATAGTAAATATGTCCGTAGATTTGATAGGAAGTAAAGAGTTGCATTTGACTAGGTTAGTTCGATTTCCGGAAAGAAGGAATCATCCAAGCAACAAAGTTGGAATAGCGGACTTGCTTGAAAATGACTGCTGTTGCTATGTCTCCTGCTTCTCATGGTATTATTCAAGTAGTTAATGAAAATAATTTACTTAAAATTGAAAGGTAATGTTATTTTACATCGACAATCTTGATAATGTGTAAAATATAAGGAAATATACAATATTTCTTACGAATTATCATCTCCTTACAGTTTTCTCAATGACACAGCATACAGGGAAGCCATTGAAAACTCGTCGAATTATAATAGTCGATTATGCAGAGAAAGAAGGTTACGTATGCCTTTTTTGGACTCGCAGACGGGTAAATTATAATATTTTATGTATTTGTGATTATTGTTTTCACTTATTTGGTTAGTGCGTGTGTGTAACATTTATTTTCTATACGTTTATTGATCCATTAAAAAATTCACTATGTTTGTTTATGAATGCAAATGCATGTTTGTAGAGTTTTAACAATTTGCTGTCATAGTGATTTTAGTATTGAATAAATAATCCTATTAATGTTTTTATATGTATATATTACTTATTATTGTTAAAATATATTGTAGGTGTAGCACAGAATCATTCGACACTGTTCATGTCACCAAGAGAAAGGTTACCAGGATTATTACATGGACAAATTTATACTTATCCAAGCAAGCGATGGAGAAAAAAGCGGCGTCAGTATCTAATGCATTATTTACATCCCAAACGTGGACCAAGAGGTGACACAGAAGATGGATCAGAGGGTATAGAAACTATAACGCACGTTAACGATGATAGTAAAGAATCAGTTGGACTTAAAGGTATATATATATATATCCAATTAAGTAATTTCATCTACCAATAATTAACATGAAATATAGATGGATAATTTATTGTTATTTGTTTCAAAGATGAACATAGTAAAGATGCATGGTATTACGACGAACAAGACATGTTGGATATGGATGCATACGAAGAACCAGACCCAGACAGTGATTATGATTATGAAGAAAGTTACAGTAGTAAAAGGAAAAGAAGAAAACAAAGAGGTGGTGGGCATCATCCTGCCAGAAGTCATCCACCGACCACAGATAGTCCTGGGACCAAACGTACAAAGGTACATCTTTTGTATATTATGAAATATTAATTAATGCAATATTCTAGTAAGTAAGAAAATATTGCGACGATTATTTTTCTTTTTTTATTTAGGGTGGGGGACGTGGCAGAAAGAAAACAAACTATGATGCCGTAGACTCTGATAAACCATTCGTTTGTGACCGTAAGTTTAATCATAGATACAACTACAAATGACTCTCTCCTGTTATTAGTTTCACCAAATATTATTATTATTATTATTAATATTATTATTAATATTATTATTATTATTATTATTACTATTATTTCTATCAGTTATTGTTTTGTTTAAGAAAGAAATGCATCGCGTTACCAAATTTGTCAATATTGTTTATTTATTATAATTTAATTAGATTTAAACATATAATTTTGCAAGGTACATGAAAAGAATTACTTTATAGTATAAGATAAGATGAAAGTTAGAAATAAATTGTGAAATATTTTAGCGTTGAATACTGCATAATCTTACACCGAGGGATGGTGATCGATCATATAATGAACTATAATGTGGGAAGTCGCTCTTTAGTCTTATATTCATTTTGATATTTAAAAGTGATCGGTACCGTATTGATTGTTGTTTTCCTTCAAGTTTATAACAATCTTATATTAATTTAACGCGTTGTGTAGACTTTTGACAAAACACGCTACTATTTATTTATTTATTTATTTGAATATTTTCATAATTAAGTTTAACTCATAACAGGGAGATTTAATTTTATATATCTGATATTTTGTTTAACACTTCCAAACTTTTTTCACTTACTTACCTTTACTTACTTTCCTTATATCATATTAATACTTCTCTTTTGTTACGTATTTATACTTTCCAAATTGAAGCAAAATAACCTCTATAAATATCTTAAGTACGTTTACAACTGATTTATCTCTCCTACAGACATAATATACTTTTATAAAGATTAAATAATCTAGTACAAATATAGTTTCAGTAAAAAAAAAAAAAAATAGATAAATATTTTTCTTTAATACAATAATAATTCCATAGCAGTTAAAGTTTTGAAGGAATACAATAGTCATTACTAATTTGAGTATACTTTTTCAGACCCAAAGTCTAGCGAATTAACTCGAATGTGCCTGCAATCTGTTTACTTCTTGAAACCACTCCTGTTAGACTAGCAGAAATCTTAAGAAATTTGGTCTCGTATAGTAAGCTCCTATTATCAATAAGAATTAGCAATTTTGTCTGTTCTTAAGCGAGCTTATGAAAGTGGCCAAATATCTTTAGACTTATTTTACCTGCCAATAACAGAGCAATAATGTACTGGCTCACACTGTAGCGAGCTCATTCTGTAGGAGTATACAAGCATCAAGCCTTGCATCGTATTAGTTTTGCTTCTTGGGCTGGAACTCCTTCACTGCTTGTCCACATATAGATCTGTAGGTGGATAGGGATGTGTACTGGTGCGGAAGGTGTGCAAATTTCCTTCTCCTTAACCCGTAAGCTTCGATCCTTAAACCTTTCCTTAATATCCATTAAAAAAAAGGTCTGTCTTTTTATGGACGTTGCGTTAGATGGATTGCGGGAAAACAGTATTTGCACTTTTGCAGTATGCAGCGCACGGTATAAAACCAGACCTGGTCTGGTCTACCATTATGGTCATTCCCACTCTACCTCCTCTGGTGATCCTGCTAAGGAACTAAGTCCCAGTCCTGCCGAAGTTGAACCTAGGAGCGTTGCAGACACCGCTGCTTCGAACCAGCCAGGTTGGAGCCAAAATCAGCTCAGTTTTCTCACTTCCCTTTAAGCCAAAATTCCCTACCTTATTCCATCACAAATTACCATTTTACCTATTATTCATATCTACAACTTATCCCATCCATGCAACTATTTACTTTAATAACCCTTTGACATCAAGAAATTGATTATATATTTTTATATGTATTGCAAATGCATGCGTTGCAAATACCGTTATAATATATCTATATATATATATATATATATACATATATAATAATAATAATAATATATAGAGATATTTATATATATATATATATGTATATATAAATGTAATGTTTGTCTTGTAAGTTCTGGTGATTCTTTTCATCAAGGACTAATTTATATAGCATCTTATTTATATTTACGTCGAGTCAGCCTTGAAAGGATTTAAAAAAAAAAAAAAAAAGAAAAACAAAATTAAGAAATATATGAATCAGCAAAATTTTAATGGTTTGTTTTAGATAGTATACGTGCACAAAGAGAAAGTCTTTCACAGTAAATATTTTGGTAAAGAAGGAATTAATCGATACAATGTTTTTAGATATATTTTGCAATGCATGCCTCTGCAAATGCATACAAATCAAATGTTTTCATTATTAGAGAAAAGCGATGATCCATTATGTCCTTTGAATTGTAACTTTTTTTTGGCACAGTCATGTCTCTGAGTGTTTGGTATGTGTGTGTTTTTATCAGTAATTCCTATACCCTAATTTTTTAGCATGATATGATATATTACAGGTAGATCTAACTGTTCTAGATATTACTTTATTTGCTCTTTTTTTTATGCTTACTTGATACCTAAAGCAATTTTGGCTTCAAGTTTCCTATTCATTAAATGCTGAAGCTTGACTAAATAAAAAAATATAAATTTGATCAATTTGCAGTAGAGTATTTCAATATAATATTTATAATAAAGTTTGTTTGCCTGTTTCTTTTAAGTCAAATATTTAAATATTGTATTTTTAAATAGTTGTTGGTGATGGAATGTATTGATCGAAATGCATCTTGTTACAAAAAAAAAAAGATAAAAAAAATATAATTGGATTTTTTATTGTTGTGCCAGTTTGTCTGAAAAAAAAAAAAAAAAAAAAAAAACTGTGGAGTTTAAATAATTGATTCTGTTATTAGAACGATATATACAATAAGAATATAAAATAAAAATAAAATGATAATATTCTTATATCTTTGAAAACACATACGAAATGTTTTAATGCGTAATAATCATACTTTTCTCTATCTCATTCATTCGTAGAAATTATATCTTTATTTAATTTTCTTTCTCTTTTCCTCTTTCTCTCTCTCTCTCTCTCTCTCTCTCTTTCTCTCTATCTATTATTCTATTATTGACAATCTACATAAATATCATTATCATAAGAATAACTGAATCGATTATTAATAGACATTTTCACAGAGTTGAATCTAAATAATTGTCAATATATAAGCCAGTGTGCATGGTCATTAGCTTGTGACGCAAAGCGCAACTGGATATGTGGTCGGTTTGTGACTAGGTGGTACACGTCGGGGTCGTCAGAACAACATTCCCTCGAGTACCTCGAGTCCCTCTCCCGCGGCACCAGCTGTCCCTGCTGCGGGAGCTCCAACGCAGCCACAACCACCGGCACAGTTGCCACCAACACAGACGCCCATTGCACCAACCTCGCCAACTTTGCCACCACCTAAGGAAGATCTCCTACCGGCTGTAGCGTCTCCTGGTACTACCGCTGTACCTTCCCCATCTTCAGTTAGACCCGAGGTTGGACCACCCACTACTACTCCTGGACCGGCGGAGAAAAAGCCTGGAAAATCAGCTCAACCCTCTCCCTACTGTGACTTTTGTTTGGGCGATGCAAGAGAGAATAAAAAAACAGGCGGATCAGAGGAATTGGTCTCTTGCAGTGATTGCGGTCGCTCAGGTAAGCTCGAGGAGAAAGTCAAACGCAAGTATACACGCAGAACAAATCATAATTAACCATATTGATACATATTTTCGATAATCATATTAGTAGTCGCGTCGTATTACAATATTTCTTTTCAAATTAAACATTCTGACCTGACTAAGTAAGTGTTCATTTGAAAAGAAAGAACAAACTAAACAAAAAAAAAAAAAAAGATATATAAAAAAAAATTAAACAAATTATTATTAAAAAAAAAGATAACAAAGAAAAAGGTTTAATATTGAAAAACAATATGTTCTTTCTTTATGTCTAACAATTGCGATCTGTAACTTGAAACTTACAAAACATATGCAACTCAAAATACAAAATAGATCAATTCTTAATCTTTCATTAAAGTAGTTTTAATCAATTAATTATGATGGCATTGGTGGATTAAAAATTAATAAAATAAGTGTTTCCAATATTATTGGTATATTGTTTTATGCGTATAATGTTATTTAATGTTATTTAATATTTTTAACGAAGAAAGACTATTTGACGAAATTTTATTGATTTCATATTATTATTATTATTATATAGATATATCTATATAAATGAATAAGACTGTTTTTTAAAAATATTTTAGCTAATTGACAAAATATTTGTTCTCTTTCTCTCTCTCTCTCTCTCTCTCTCTCTCTCTCT